TTCCCAAAACTTCAGATAAAAGAGGAAACCAAATCCAGCCAAGAAACATAGAAGAAATATTTACCAAAAACCACTCCTTCTCATTTTCCAGCCTCAAAAGAGGCCCAGATACTCCTTGCCTAGCATGCGTGAGGCACTAGGTCCGATCCTCAGCACCACATAAAAATAAAATAAAGATATTGTGTCCACCTATAACTAAAAAGTAAATATTTAAAAAAAGAGGCCCAGATAGGTTCTACAGGGATTCTTCCTAACCTCAAAGGAGCAAATAATCCCAATGCTACTTAATGTGTTCCAGAATATAGTAAAAGAAGAAATTGTCTTCTTAGGAAATGATAAAATTGTGATGACAAAACCTGACAGGTGGGAGCTCCAGGACTTTAGGTGACACCTGGGTCCTCCTCTCTTTCTGCTTCACTGTCCTTAGCATGTGTCTTCATCTTTAGGGTCACCTTGTGGTAGCAAGATGACTATATAACTCCAGTTACCCTGCCGTGCAGAGGTGGAAGGGTATCTGGCAGCTCCATCAGACTTCCACAAAGCCCTGTCTGGTGACCTTCATTTAAATTCCTTTGATCCATGTGGAGACACATGACCTCCTCTAGCTACAGGGAGGGTTGAGGCAGGTAAACCCCCTCTTGAAAATCATGCTTTGCCAAATATAATACAGGAGGCCCAATTAAATTTGAATTTCAGATAAATAAGTATGTTAGGACATACTAAAAAGTTATTACTATTAATTTGAAATTCACATTTAACTGAGAATTTGGGTGTCCTATTTTTCTGTTTTTGTTTTGAAAAACCTGACAGCCTTACTCATAAGTTATCAGGTATTCGTAACTCTGGCTCTTATTGTCATCATTTCCTTATGTTTTAAAAATAGCTTTGTCACCTGTTGTGCATCCCTAGACATTATTAGTCTTGCCCATTACAAATTTAAATCTCTTTTAAGTCTCTTTTAATATATCTTTTATAATCTCTTTTAATCTATCTTCCATCCCTTCCTTTTCCTTAAAATGAATACAATAGACAAGATAGTTTCAAAAGAGTGAAGCAGAAGGACTATATATATATATATATATATATATATATGACATAGGTATATAGAGATAGATATGGAACTTTGATATATGACAGGTCACATTATGAAAAATTCATTGGAATAAGAATGAAATATTTTAAATGGTATTTGGACAACTGAATTAAGATAAACTGACTACTACAAAAATAGCCAGCAATTATTCCCCGCTCTGTATGTAGGTTTCCTTATCATGTAACTTTAATGCCTTGACTCAAAGCCTGAGGTCAGCCAGGTCACTTGCTGTGGCTAATGGGATGCTGCCACACATGACAGGCAGCAGCTTCCACAATGGGGCCTGTTCCCTTTTGCATTCTGTTGAAATCATATGAAGAAATTGGGTAGGTGGGCAATGAGGGATGCCTGGCTCAGTGGCAGATACATGGGACACCGAGGTGGATAACCTCCCAGTAATCAACATCCAGAGTCAGAGGAATGTAGGTGACTGGCAACTGACCACAGGACCAGGAGTGAGCTCAACCTCACTGGAGCATAAGTTAAATAAAWAGGAGTTGTTTTAAGCTACTAAATTTTGAGGTGGTCAGTTATACAGCAAACTATCAGATAAAAGTATTACATGGAAAAATATGAACAAAACTCTGGATTACTGCCTCCCATTTTATGTGTATGTGGGTGTAATATTTTTCTATCTCCATATGTATCCAGGTAGATTAGATGTATCCTAGACATGTATCCAGGTAGATTAGAGACTTAAATATGACAAACAAAACTTAAACTTTTTGACAGAGAAAAGAACATTGTGACCTCAGATTAGGGATGTTTTTTAAGCAAGATGCAAAAAATACAAAACATAAAGGAAACAATTATCACATGTAACTTCAAAACATTTGCATCTCAAAAGAAACTAAAAACAAAGTTAAAAGACAAAGAATTAGCATTTGGAATATATAAATAACATATAGACATCAATAAAAATTAAATAATCCAATAAATAAATGGGCAAAAAATAGAAAGTAATTCACAGATGAAGAAATCTGTATGCTGTGTGTGTGTGTGTGTGTGTGTGTGTGTGTGTGTATGGACACACACACGCACACACACACACAACTTAACCTCATTAGGAGTCAGGGAAATGGAAATGAGAAGCCATTTCATATCCATCATTGGCAAAAATTTTCAAAATTCCCATTTTGAGGACTTGGAGGGGATTCTCAAACACCGATGGAGGGGATATAGATTCATACAATGACTTTAAGATCAATTTGGCATTTTCTGATAAACTTGATAATGAGCTCCCCATTCTCACACACACTCACACACACCCACTCACACACTCTCTCTCTCTCTCACATAAATTCTCACATATGTACACAAGGAGATTCACAAGGATGTTCAGGATCTAAATGTCTGCAATGCTTTAAGCATGTTCCCCAAAATGCCTGTGTTGGAACTTTAATTCCTCACTGTAGCAGTGCAGGGAGGCAGGGCCCGGGAGGAAGTGTCTGCTTATGGAGCTAAGCCCCTGTGAATGAATTCATGTTTTTCTCTCATGAGTGGATTCACTATCTCAGGGGTTCTGCCCCCTTATCTCTCTTCCTCATGCATCTGCTTGTCCTTCTGCTATGAGGCCCTTACCAGAAGCCAAGCAGATTCCAGCACCATACTCTTAGATTTCCTAGCTTCAAGAACTATGAGGAAAAAAATCCTCTTTCCTTTATAAATTACCCAGTCTCACGTATTCAGTTACAGCAACAGAAGATGGATTAAGACAATGTCCATTGCCTGAAAAAAAGGGTAATGTGGGAATTACAAACATCAAATTCAATGGGATAGGGAAGGCAGTGCAATAGGAAAGGGACATGCAGGAGGCTCATTCAATTTCAACATCATATTTCTAAAGATAGGAGCTGTGTGTATCAATGTGTTTCTTTCATGTGCCTGAAAGATGTCATAAATGTTAAACGTATGGAACAATAAATCACATCTAAGCTCTGAAAAGGAACTTAAAGGTTGTGATGAAGAGACAAGTTCACAGACCTAAGTTTTCATAATGAAGGTGTCATTCACTTAGAGATGTACCTAGTTCAACCCTACACCCTGTGAATCACTCAAGAGAGTCTGTCCTAGAGTGACTCTTTGTTTTGCAGACTCGGAGAAGAGATGTAAAGCAAAACAAAGCAATAAGGTACAACTTTTTTTCTGGGGGGTGGGTACTGGGGATTACACCCAGGGCCTTACATATGCTAGACAAGTGCTCTACCACTGAGTTATATCCCCAGCCCTTTTTATTTGATTCTGATACAGGCTCTCACTAAATTGCCCAGTCTAGCCTCAAACTTGTGATCCTCTTGCCTCAGTCTCCCAAGTAGTTGAGATTACAGGTGTGCAACACCGCCAGGCAAGAAGGTACAATTTAAAAAGCTAAGCAAGGCATGGTAGTACACACCCATAATCTCAGCTACTTGGGAGACCAAAGCAGGAGGATCCCAAGTTCGAGGCCAGCCTTAGTAACTTAGTGAGACCTTCTTTCAAAAATTCAGAAGAACAGGAATGTAGCTGAAAGGTAACCCCGTAGGTTCATTTTCCAGTATAAATAAATAAATAAACAAGTAGCTAGCTAAAGTAAGGGGCTGTAATGATACTAATGGCTACCTAGAAGAAACAATGAAAACAGAAATTCTTTCAATACTGGTGATACTGGTACCATGTTTCAAAACACACATGCATCACCAAGAGGAATAATATGACATGACTTCCAAGCCATTTGAAATGAATCTCTTATGTCCGCACCACACAACACTACATACAGTTATCACCATTTCCTGGTGTATTTTACACAAAAAAACCCATTCTTGTCAGTGATGTTTACCGCTGATGTCAAACTATACCAAATTTGCTTAAAAAAAAAAAAAACACCAAAACCCCCAAACTCCATAATGGATGACTCAAAGCTAGAACAGGGAAACAACATTCCTCCCATCTTATTCCCATAATGCTCCCTGCTCCAGTCCTAGGTCTCACAGGCATCCAAATGCAGGGCAAAGGTTAAGGGCTTGCCAATGTAGGCCATGGGCAGGAATCCAACCTTTTTCTAGGTCAGAGGGCCCCCGGGAAAAACTCTCAGTGCCTGTCAACCTGTAAAAGGCACTGGGAGTTTTTATTATTTAGTTGCTATTGAGCTGTCCCCTGATGGCTCCATAATAAAGGTGCTTTTCACTGGTTTTGCTTCAGGCTTATCTTTTGGTACTTTGCAGTCTATAAATTTAATAAGAAACAAACAAAATCAATTAACCTGTTTTATTCAAAGAATCATTTTATGATATTATTTTATGTCCTCATCTCTGTTGACATATTTCCTATAGCACATTTCCTTTGTATAGTTTTAAGTGTTGCTTTTAAAAATAACATGCCACATAGATTTTCTTCCTTATTCCTTTTGCTGGCTTTTTATTTGTTTTTAAGACATTCAGTTGTAATTTTCTTTTTTAGCCATTTTATAATGTATCCTAAATAATCCAATTTTTTCCTTTCTTTCTATCTTTTTTTTTTTGTATTAGGTATTGAACCAAAGGTACTCTACCACTGAGCTACATCCTAGTCCTTTTTATTTTGATGCAGGGGTTCACTAAGCTGACCAGGCTAACCTTGAACCTATGATTCTCCTGCCTCAGGCTCCTGAGTCACTAGGATTACAGGTGTGTGCCACCATATGTGGCTCCAATTTATTTCTTCATTTGATAACCGATAACCACACACTTCATAATTTTAATAAAACATGTCCACGAGACTATTTCTTACAGGTCCTGCTAGTGTTGTGTTTTAAAATAATCACAAAGGTTCTTAGTGTCCTTGTTAGGTTACTGAAATTAAAATGTACAATCAGTGTTTTGGAGTCTAAGGAGTCACTGCCTGTAGAGGCTGCAGTCTTCCAAGAGTATGTTTTCGCCAGATGCTAACTTACCTATTGCCTAGATATTCTCTTCACCCAGGTGGGAGACAGCTGTCAAATAGCTTCTTTTCGTAATCTCAGATCTGGAACCCTTGAATAATCAGCATGCAGGCTGGATGAGTAGCTTTGTTCTTTGGAGAGCATGTTATTAATTATTTAGTCTTTATTTTTAAAAACATTAGGCTTATTCCTTTTTGATGAATAAATAAATTAAAAAACAAAACCAATAAATAAGCAAAAACAAAACATCCAGCAAATAAAATTCCATGCCTATTGCCAACAAAAGTAATAAAGAACATGGTCAGTGGTTACAAAGTCCGCACAAAGGGCTTTGGATAAATTCCAGATCCTGGGGTCTTTTAACTACAAGTGGACTGACAAGGAGTTGCTCTTTGACCCTGTGAATCCTGGGGAAGGACTCAGCACTCCTGCTGAATCATCAGAGACCAGTGAATAGGGGAAGGCTGCACTCTGAACTGAAAGGGGTAAAGGTGAAAGCAAGAACTCTCTAATGGCTTTTCTCTTTGCTAACTGGTAGAATCTAGCTTGTTGAGGATTTATGCTTTTGCAAAACCACTTATTTTGAATTCTAGGGAAATTCCCTCTGCACTTCATATTGTGATTCTTTTGACAGGAAAGCAGACACAAGGTCCCATGAATTGACTACCATCTATGCAGCTTGTGCTGTTAATGTCAAACAGGTTTAGCCTTGAACCTGTAAATCCAAGTTCATCAACTGTATTACATTGGTAATAGTTAGGCAATCAGACATTTAATTATTACCACCAACATGAGTACAGAGCTAGTGGTTCTGAATTTGGGAAGAAAATCAAAATCAGGTGTGGTGGTGCATGTAATTCCAGATGAGGCAGGAGGATTGCAAGTTTGAGGCTGGCCTCAGCCACCTCGAAACTACATCTCAAAACAAAAAAACAAAGACTGGGAATGTAGCTCAATGGTAAAGCACACCTGGGTTTCATTCCCTAATACCACATACACACATGCACAAATCAGGTAGCGGCTTTAAAAAAAAATACAAGTGCCTAACATGGTCTAAGATGCTAATTCATGGTGCACACCTGTAATCCCAACAGCTTAGGAGGCTGAGGCAGGAGTTTTGTGAGTTCAAAGCCAGCCTCAGCAAAAGCAAGGCACTAAGCAACTCAGTGAGAAGCTGTCTCTAAATAAAATACAAAATAGGGCTGGGGATGTGGCTCAGTGCCCCCAAGTTCAATTCCAGCCCTCCAAAAAGATGCTAATTCAGGAGATCTGAGGTAAGGCCAAAGAATTGTATTTTCCATGTGATTCTGATGCAATGAGAATCATGCAAACACTGTCAAGAAGTATCAATATAAACTATAGCACATAATGGAGGGGAGTTACTCAAATAGAGGTAGGAGTCACTGTGCTAAGGACTATTCAAAGCACAGAAAGAATGTTTTACATCTTTCTGGAACATCAGTTTTACTTGGCAGGTAAGCAGCTTAAAATATTTTAATTTTGGGTGATAGCTGCATAGGTATACATAACTGTCAAAACTCATATATTTAAGATCTGAGTATTTAAGCCAGGCACATTGGCACACACTTGTAATCTCAGAAACTCAAGAGGCTGAGACAGGAGGATGGAAAGATGCCAGCCTCACCAATTTAGCAAGACCCTATATAAAAATAAAGTTTGATTGTGCTCATTAAATTTTAAGAAACAAAATGCCACTTTATATCAAAACATGGATACATTCTGGAGTAGAAGCAAAATCTGCATTTACTGTTTAGATGAACCTGAGACTTCAAAGAAATCTCCCTCTTAGATGGGATCCCAGACTCCCTCATAGCTAGGGAGGCAACCATTTCACTCTCCATTGATTGGGGTGAAGAGAGAGGTTGAAATAAAGAGAGGAAGACATTTTGAAAGGGCCTGGACTACACTTTAAAAATCTCTAGGTTTACAATTCCTTTCATTTCCAATGCTTCTCATTTATTTCACTACCTATGATTCTGGCTCCTTGTCTTTTACCTATAACTTTTTAAGCAGATTACCTATTTATTTATAATTTTTACCTTTGTTACCGAGTAGGTGGTCTAAGGATTGGGGCATAGCCTCAGAAATTGCACACTGCAAACATCTTTCCTATTGGGAAGTGTTTTGAAAGGCTCTGAAGAGCAGGGCCTGGTTATGGGAAGGGACTGATGTTAAAAATTGTGAAAAACTGCATGTCCTGATTTGGAAAGATAGTAATGGAGAGTAATGGTTAGCAGCACAGGTTGAATTTCTCGAGGTTCATGGAATAGTCTGAAGCTGGTCTGGGCAAGTTACTTTCTCCCCTGCTTGGAAGCCAGGTGTCACCTACGAAGCTGGGGTAGCTGCTTGCGGATTTAAGTAAGGCGCATTAGTATGATTTACGGAGTGCAAAAGCACAAGTTATGAAATCAGAGGATTTAGCAGTATGACAACACGACCCACAGACTAGTTTGCTCTTCATTAGATGAGCTTCTGCCACCCTCATTCCGGCAGCCTTCCTACAGACCCTTCAGCAAGCTTCCCGGGCGGGGGCGGGGGCGGGGCCTGAGCCACGCCCCCTTCTCTCGGGAGCCCAGTCCGCCATCCGCCCCACGTGCGCATGCGCCACTCACGGTGCCAAAGAGCGTCGGGACCTTGGGCAATGGCGGGAGGCCTCCGAGAGGCGGCTTCTTACCTGCTCGGCATAGGTCGCGGCCTCCAGCTAGTCCTGCCTCCTTCTCACACTCTGCGTCTGCAAATGGGGGAACCGGGAAGAGGGCTGTTTACATTCTCACCTCACGCGGAGCGGGCTAGTTTAGCCCCGCCTCTTCCGTCCTGTTATTTAAAAGCGGTTGGCTGCCCTGCTGTCCGTCAGAGGCGCGGTTCCACTGGCGGCGTGCGGGGTGAGGGTTTGTTTTGTCGCAGGCTGGTGGCTGCGAGAGTTCCTTGAACTTTTAGGTGGAAGATGSCGGAAAGTAACTTGGCAGAGCGGAGTGACAGAAGCGAGGAGCAGGTGTCTGGTGCTAAAGTCATCGCCCAGGCCCTGAAGACGCAAGTACGAGGGCAGCCTCTGAAGTGAAAGGCTCCTACGGTGGCCGCACGGGACCCGGGCGTTGTCATGGGGACGAGGAGAGCTTGGGGCGTTGGGGGTGGGGTCTTTTGGGGTTTCCTTTAGGGGCCCGGACGTTTATTCACCTGTTCTCTCGCGGGCAGAATGTGGAGTACATGTTTGGCGTCGTAGGCATCCCGGTGACTGAAATCGCCATTGCAGCCCAGGAGCTAGGCATCAGGTACATCGGGATGAGGAATGAGCAAGCGGTGAGTAAGGACTCAGCCGATGCATTATTGAGAATGATGGATCATCATAGCTGTTCATTGCAAACACTCAGTGCTTACCATTGTTCTAGTGCTTTGCACGCATCAGTCCCTAATTTAATTATTGTTGATCTTAGTTGACAGTTAAGAAAAGTGAGACACAGGTGAATTAGTGGCAGAGCCTGGATTTAAATTCAGGTACTCTGGCTCCAAGAACTTGGTCATACTAGTATATTATGTTGTGCTCTGCCTAGTCTAAATTTCAGGATTGGAAAGGACAGTTCCTGAATGAAGTCTGGCTTCCCTATTAGCCTGTGAGCTCCAGGAGAGCAGAGATGTTATTTCTTCACTACACATCTATATTGCTATCCTGGTGTGTTAGAGGTGCTGAGAGAGTAAGTACCTGCGGGATGAATGAGTGAAGGCCAAGTCTCATGTTACATAATAGGTGTCAGGGCAGGGTGAAGGATACCACAAATGGTAAAGCCACGATTGAAACTCAGGTTGCCCAAATCCTGGTCTAGTGCACAGTATGCCACCTCCTTTCTTGGAGTATTATTTGGAAACAAGGAATAGAAGCCAATAAATTTTGTCAGCCCACTTCTAGTGCTTCTTCTGCCATCCCAAACTTGCCCTTCTGTCAGCAATACTGTCTTAAAAGATCAAGAATCCACTTTTCTGGGGATTGCCTTCTATTATTTTTATGACAAGGAGAAGTTTTTCACCTGTTAATTGCATTTGTTTTTTATTGTTTTTCTGGAGGTGTATGTCTTCTTTATACAGGATATTGGGTATGTACTGTATGCTAGAAACTATGCTATATAACTGGTGCTAGAGAGCAATATAAAGAAGGAATTAGGTTTAATCTTAGTCTTCAAATTGATCACAGTCTGTAACCATGAGAGCAAGACATACAGAAAAAACTTATCCTGTATAATAACTCCCCCAATAGATGTACAATATATGGACTTTGGTGGCACAGGGAAGACTGCTTGTAGAGGTATTGTTCATGGTGCATCAAGATAGTTTGAAGACATGGTTGACTGGGAAACTGGATAGGTAGGCCAAGGAGGCTGTAAAGAATCTTCTCTCGCTGGAAAAGTTTGGAATTTTTTTTTTTTTTTAACAGTAGGCAACTGGGGAGACTGTAAAAGTTTTTCTAATTAGTAAGAGACATATTTAGGATTTTGCTTTAGAAAAATTGTATTCATGGTAGAATAAAGTATGGACCAGCAGGATTGGTGGTTTAACTCAGAGTTAAAATACTTGTGAGCATACATGAAGCCCTGGGTTCAGTTCAATCAATAAACAAACAAATAAGGAACAGGTTACAAGCCAGAAGACAGACTCCAGCTTGACTTTTTTTTTTTCCCAGTCTTAAAAGCTTAGTTGAGGGTTCCTTAGGTTTAAGGTGCTATGCTGGGCACTGGATAGAGGGAAGAGCCAGTTTGGAGGGGAAAGATGATCAATTTGATTTTGAACATTTGAGTTTGAGATGTGTGTGGAACATCCAGCACATACGTCCCTCAGGCAACATGAGTCTTGATGGTAGTCAAAGGAAGACTTAGTGCCTGAATTAAAGTAGTGACAGGATTAGAAGGAATAGGAAAATAAGTTCAGAAGGATTTAGGAGCTTGTTTGTGCTAAAGAGAAAGGTGTAGTTGGTTATGACTTGTTTTTCATCAGTCCCTTATAGTAACCAAGACATATTTGGTCAGTTAACCACCAAACAGGCAGATTGTCAGAAAGTCAGCTGCATAGAGTTTATTGTGTACAGGCACTATTCTGAGTGTTTTATATTGATTACCTGATTTTATTCTTACATCAGTGCCCTGAATTACATTTATTTTATGAAGAAGCCAATATACAGAATAACTTGCCAAAATTATGCGGTAGAATGTAGGGGAGCCAGGCACAGGGCACACATCTATAATCTCTCCCACTCAGGAGGCTGAGACAGGAGGATCACAAGTTTGAGGCCAGCTTCAGCAAATGAGGGAGGCTCTAAGCAACTTTGTGAGATGCTTGTTAAAATAAAAGATAAAAAGGGCAGGATATAGTTCAGTGATAAAACACTCTTGGGTTCAGAGGATTAATACATTTGATAAACCCCTCATGAGACTGATGAACAATCAAAGAAGGATAATACAGCTGGGTGTGTTGGTGCATGGGAGGTGACTCAGGAGGCTGAATGAGAAGGATTCCAGGCACAAGACCAGCCTCCACAATTTAGGGAGGGTGGTAGAGTGCCCCTGGCTTAAATCCCCAGCCCCTGCCCACACACAAAGAGATGAAACAAACCCACAAATTACCAGTATTAGTAATAAGAAAAAGAGGACATTTCTATTGATCCTGAAGATATTTAAGCAGTTTTAAGTAAGCAGTTGGAAGAGGATATTATAAATAACAGATGATAAAGATTAATTTTTGAAAAACTGGAGATTAGATACTTTTAGGTACTGTTTAGCATTATTTGAAATTTGCGGGTAGCACATTTCTCATTTTTAAAATGAAAAGTGTTCTAATTCCTCTTTTATCATTTAAATTCTAGTCTCTTATTTAGTAATAAATTGTTCTCATATGTACACTATGAGAATCCCAATATGCTTGATTAAGTTCCAGTGTTCTTGCTTTGTAGGCTTGTTATGCTGCCTCTGCAGTTGGATATCTGACTGGCAGGTAAGCTAAAGTCTTTATTTCAATTACATTAATATGATCCTTCAGTTAAAGGATCATTTGATTTGAAAATATTACAGAAGATGGTATTGATAAAAACATAAGAAATTTAGAACTCTCTGAGTCATATTGAAAGGATCATACCAGAAAAGTGTTTGGGGGTAGAACATATTTCCATTTTGTGTAGTGAATCGCTAGTGAACAGATACTGACATTCCTTGTCTTACATGTCCCAGTTGCCCTAGCCCACTGAATATAAAAATGCTAAGTTCAAAAATGAGATTGTTGGGACTTGATTCACTTATCATATTTTTAGTTTGTATCTATATTAACTAACTATTCACCCCTCTTTTATTATTAAAAATTAATACTTTTTGGGGCTGCAGATATAGTTCAGTTGGTAGAGTTCTTGCCTCACATGCACAAGGTCCTGGGTTCAATCCCTAGCAACACATACATGTGCACACACACAAATAAAAAAAAAAGTAAAAATTAATATTTTTAAAAGTGCTCCATTTTAGGGCTGGGATATAGCTCAGTTGGTGGAGTGCTTGTCTAGCATGCACAAAGGTTCAATCCTCAGCACCACACACACACACAAAAAAGGCGGGGGAGAAAGAATAAAGTGCCCATTTTAGAAAATTTGGAGAGTATAGAAAAGTATAAGGAAGAAAACTAATATCACGTCTAATCCCATACTGTTAAGAATTTGTAGTATTTTCTTCCAGTTATTTTTCTACATGTATTTTTTAAGCAGAATTTGGACTCCTACTATAATTTTTAACCTTTTTTCACTTATTAATTTTTTTGTTTCCAAAAATGAAATAATTAAACTGCTAAGAAATATAGACAAATGTGGTTCTCAAAAGTCTAGACCTCACCATAGTCCCACCTCTTTGATGGGGACCTTTTGAACTTCAGTGCGAAAAAAAATAGGCCAACCAAAAAATAACATCTTTTTGCCACTTTCTGTCACATTATTTACATAAACAATGTTTGATCTTTTTGTTTAGCCCAGAAAACATTTAAATCATAGTCATTGATGCCTTAATTTTTAAAAACACTGGAATGATGATTAAGAAAAAGTCAAGTTTATACTTTCAAAGATTTTGTTATTTATTTATTTTTTGTTTACTTATTTGTTTATTTGGTTTTGGTACTGGGGAATTGAACCCAGGGGCAGTTTACCACTGAATTACATCCTAGCCTTTTTTTTTTGTTGTTATATTTTTTTATTTTGAGACAGGGTCTCACTAAAGTTTCTGGAGCTGGCCTTGAACTTGAGATCCTCCTGCGTCAGCCTCCCAAGTTGTTGGGATTACAGGCTTGTGCCATCATGCCCAGCAAAATTTTGTTTCTTTTAATGAACTTCTGGTACTACATTGTTTATTATACTAGCTACTAGTCATATGTGACTACATTTAAATTAATTAAAATGAAATAACATTTAAACTATAGTTTCTTATTTATGAGGGCCACATTTCAAGTGCTCAGTGACCATCTGTGGACTGGCTGCCGTATTGGACTGTACAAAAAGTTCTGTCAGTACTGTTGTAGAAGTTTTAATTTTTGGTGAAAAGTTAATGCATTTTAAAGTCTGTCTTAAAGATTCTTAAGAAATTATAAATGTTAAGTGGCGAACTCAATGTAGAGATACCTTTTTCTTGAGTGCTTTAGGCTTAGAAAGTCATTTCTAGGGTAAAACATTGAACTTTAGTTGGAAAAGAATTTTGGTAGAACATGATGTACAGAATTACTTTCCTC